GTAGCTGGGATTACAGGCACGCGCCACCATGCCCAGCTAATTTTTTGTATTTTTAGTAGAGACGGGGTTTCACCATGTTGACCAGGATGGTCTCGATCTCTTGACCTCGTGATCCAACCGCCTCGGCCTCCCAAAGTGCTGGGATTACAGGCTTGAGCCACCGCGCCCGGCAATACCATTCATGTTAACACTAATAAAATGAAATACTTAAGTATAATTCTAACAAAGTGGCCAGTCGTGGTGGCTCATGCCTGTAATCCCACCCCTTTGGGAGGCCAAGGTGGGTGGATCACCCAGGGTCAGGAGTTCAAGACCAGCCTGGCCATCAGGGTGAAACCCCATCTTTACTAAAAATACAAAAGAAAGATTAGCCGGGCATGGTGGCATGTGCCTGTAATCCCAGCTACTTGGGAGACTGAGGCAGGAGAAGTGCTTGAATCTGGGAGGTGGAGGTTGCAGTGAGCTGAGATGGCGGCATTGCACTCTAGCTTGGGCAACAAGAATGAAACTCTGTCTCAAAAAAAAAAATTCTAACAAAGTTTGTTGTAGAAGGTCTATATGAGAAAAATTATAACACTCATGAAAGAAATCAAAGAACTAAGTAAATTAAGAGATATTCCAAGTAAATAGATAGGGAGACTAAATATTATTGAGATGTCAGTTCTTCCCAAGTTTATATATAGATTCAGTGCAGTCCCAATCAAAACCCAGAAAGTTATTTTGTGGATACTGACAAACTAATTAAAGTTTATATGAAAAGGCAAAAGATCCAAAGCAGCCAATATATTATTGAAGAAGAAAGAGAACTGAAACTACCCAACTTCAAGACTTACTATAAAGCTACGTTAATCAAGACAGCGTGTCATTGGCAAAAGAATAGACAAATCAATAGAACTGGACAGAGAGCCTAGAAATCGACCCACACAGGTAAAGTCAGCTGATCGTAGGCAGAGGAACAAGATAATTCAATAGAGAAAAGATAGCTTTTTCAACAAATGGTATAGGAAAACTGGACATCCACATGCAAAAAAATTAATCTAGATGGCCCGGCGTGGTGGCTCACCAGCTAATCCCAGCACTTTGGGATTCTGAGGTGGGTGGATCACGAGGTCAAGAGTTTGAGACCAGCCTGGCCAACATGGTGAAACCCCATCTCTACTAAAGATACAAAAAATTATTTGGGTATAGTGGCACATGCTTGTAATCCCAGCTACTCGGAATGCTGCGGCAGGAGAATTGCATGAACACAGGAGGCAGAGGTCACAATGAGTCGAGATCACGCCATTGCACTCCAGCTTAGGCAATAGGGCAAGATTCTGTCTCAAAAAAAAAAATTAAAAAAAAATTAATCTAGACACAGACCTGACAACTTTCACAAAAGTTAACTTAAATGGATCACAGACCTGAATGTAACATGTGAACTGAAACTTCTAGAGGATAACATAGGAGAAAAATGTTTGGTTTGGCAGTGACTTCCCAGGTACAATACCAAAACATGATCTTTGAAAGAAAAAATAAATACATTGAACTTTGAATTAAAAACTTCTGCTCTGGCCGGGCGCGGTGGCTCAAGTCTATAATCCCAACACTTTGGGAGGCTGCAGTGGGCGGATCACAAGGTCAAGAGATTGAGACCATCTTGGCCAACATGGTGAAACCTCGTGTCTACTAAAAATACAAAAATTAGCTGGGCGTGGTGGCGCAAGCCTGTGGTCCCAGCTACTTGGGAGGCTGAGGCGGAAGAATCGCTTGAACCTAGGAGGCGGAGGTTGCAGTGAGCCGAGATTGCAGCACTGCACTCCAGCCTGGCGACAGAGCAAGACGCCATCTCCAGAAAATAAAAACAAACAAACAAAAAAAACTGTTCTCTGTAAGATGCCGTTAAGAGAATGAAAAGACAAGCAGCAGAGTGGGAGACTTTACAAAATTCATTATCTGATAAAGGACCAGTATCCAGAATATACAAAGAACTTTTAAAACTCAACAATAAGAAAAGATACAACCCAGTTAATAAATGGGCAAAATATCTGAACAGACACCTCCTCACCAAGGAAGGTAGATAAATGACAAACAAGGATATGAATATATGCTCAACATCATGTCATTGGGGAAATTGCACATTAAAACAACAGTAAGTTACCCTGTACCTCTATTAGAATGGCTAAAATCTAAAACACTGACAATACCAAATTCTGGCAGGGAATTTGGTGCAGCAGAAACTTTCATTCATTGCTGATGGAAATCTAAAATAGCAGAACCATTTTGGGAGATAGTTTGACAGTTTTTTACAAAACTAAAGACAGTTTGACAGTTTCTTACAAAACTCTTACCATATGGTCCAGCAGTCTTACTCCTTGGTGTTTACCCAAATAAGTTTAAAATGTACATCCACTCAGAAACCTGCATGTGAATGTTTCTAGCAGCATTATTCATAGTTGCCAAAATTTGGAAGCAACCAAGCCATCCGTAAGTAGGTGAATGGATAAACAGACTCTGATATATCCGTGTAATGGAGTATTATTCAGCAATTAAAAAAATGATCTATCAAGCCAGAAAAAAACATGGAGGAACCATAAATGCATATTGCTAAATGAAAGAAGCCAATCTGAAGAGACTATATACTGTAGGATTCTGACGATATGATGTTTTGGAAAAGGCAAAACTGTGGAGACAGTAAATAGATCAGTGGTTGCCAAGGAAGATAGGGAGAGAGGAATAGGTGGAGCACAGTGGATTTTTAGGACAGTAAAACTGTACTTTATGATAATCTAATGGTAGATACATGTCATTATACCTTTGTCAAAACCCATAGAATGTCAAACATAAGAGTGAACTTTACTGTAAACTATGGACTTCAGTTAATAATATATCATTTTTCATTAGTACTACACTAATACAAGATATTCAGATTAAGGGAAATTGGAAAGGAATGAAAGGTTATATGGGAACTCTGTACTTTCTGCTCAATTTTCTGCAAACATAAAATCACTGAAAAAAATAGACTTTTTTTTTAAGTTGGATATTAGCTATTTCATATGATTCAACTTAAAAGTATGTACACATTCACTATTATTTAATAAGTGTAGTTGAGGTGTTTTCAGTCTGGGGCTCCACCCGTGACTCTTGTCATGCCTAATGTCCCTAAGTCTGGAGACTCTAACTTATTTTTTTATAGAATATAACTCCTGCCTCCTGCTTTGGTGGTGGTTGGTACCCGTGGGGAGTTCCTCATACCAACTTTCAATCCATTCCTCTGTTTTGGGCTGCCTGCCTTACTACTGCTTTCTGTGGTGCCTGATGCCTCCAATTCTTGAACCTTCCTGAGAATTTTGTTCACATCAGCGTGCTTCTTGTATCTAGGTATCCCTTCACAAGTAGATATTTAGGTTTTAAGCTCTGCTAAATGATGTACCACACATTATCAGTTCTCCATTTTATGGGAATTTATTGTGTTACCTCCTTTTCTATTTTTGTTTGGAAGATTTATATATTTTTTATTCATTTAGCATTATTTTGGTATGATTTCTAAGTAGAGAAACATGGCTGTGTTCAGTTTGTCTTGTTTAAGCAGTCTGCTTTCAATATTATCACAAAGGAGTTGGTTTTATTTCCTTTTATTTTTCTGAGACTGGGTCTCACTCTGTCAGCCAGGCTGGAGTATAGTGGTGAGATCAAAGCTTGCTGTACCCTTGGCCTCCCAAGCTCAAGTAATCCTCCCACCTCAGCCTCCTGAGTAGCTGGGAGCACAGGCAATCCAGCACACCCAGCTAATTTTTTTTTTTTTTTTTTTAATTTTTTGTAGAAGCAGAGTCTCCCTATGTTGCCCAGGCTGGTCTTGAACTCTTGGGCTCACATGATCCTCCTGTTTTGGCACCCTAAAGTGCTAGGATTATAAGTGTGAGTCACCACACCCAGTGTTTTTAATTATTACACTAATTTATGATTATGTGTTTCCTTTAAAGTTGTGGGCAGCTCTGTTTGGGAGGATGCTACTGAAAAGGATGCTTTTTAGATGACACATGGTACTTAAAATGTCTCTAGAATCATAGTTGTAAACTAAAATATTTATTTTTAAGTTGTTCACAGGACTTAGAGCTCCTGCCAGAGGACTGTTACTCTTTGGTCCACCTGGGAATGGGAAGACGATGCTGGTAAGAGTTCTCTTCAAATTCGAGTTTTTTATTGAGATATTTGGGATAACATGAAAAACGAAACTTCATCTCGTCCCTGAGTCTATTATTTATGATTTGCTTTCTGCTGTGATACATTTTTGTTTGTTTGTTTGTTTGTTTTTGAGTGATCTCAGCTCACTACAACTTCCGCCTCCTGGGTTCAAGCAATTTTTGTGCCTCACCCTCCTGAGTAGCTGGGATTATGGGCACACGCCACCACACCTGGCTAATTTATGTATTTTTGGTAGAGACAGGATTTCGCCATGTTGGCTAGGCTGGTCTCAAACTCTGGGCCTCAAACAATCCTCTCACCTGGGCCTCCCAAAGTGCTAGGATTACAGGCATGAGCCACTGCACCTGGCTGATAGACTTCTTTTAAGTTTTTCAACTACTTTTCAATATAGAAGTAGATGGAAAACCATGAGTATTATCTCAGTAGTGTGTTTTTGGTTGGTTAAATTTGACAGTGTAATTGTCATTTTTTGAAAATTAAATATTAAAATTTTTACCTTGGAAGTTTACCTTACTATATTGAGTGTCTTTCTAACCCTTGATTTTTGCTTCTACTATCATAACAACTTTATTTAGATAATCAATATGTTATAGCTTTTTTTCATTATCAATGCAAAAACTTTTTTTTTTTTTTTTTAAGTATTCTTTTGCTAGAAGTTTTTATCAGGATCTGGATACCTCTTTCCTCTGCATAGCTCTTCTGGATGGAAAAAACTAATAGGGAAAGAGTAGCTTTTCCTAAGATGTTTGTCTTTCTCAAAGCATTTATCTTTGTATACCTAAGAAGAGAGGAGAATAACACTCTTTTTTAAAAAAATTTCTCTGATGATCTCTCAGGAAGAGAGTAGAAAAAGCATAGCTCTTTCTGTAACCTGTCCTCATTGCTAAGAAAGAAACACATTGATTGCCATATTTTGGGGATTGTATCATACCTTACATTTTAATTTTTTATTTATTTTGTGCCCCTCCCCCTCCACATTTTTATTTTTTAATAATTTTTTTTTAGACAGAGTCTTGCTCTGTCACCCAAGCTGTAGTACAGTCACTTGATCTTGGCTCACTGCCATCTCTCCCTCCTGGGTTCAAGTAATTCTGCCACCTCAGCCTCCCAGGTAGCTGGAATTACAGGCGTGCACCACCACACCTGACTAATTTTTGTATTTTTAGTAGAGACGGGGTTTTACCATGTTGGCCAGGCTGATCTCAAACTCTTGGCCTCAACTGATCTGCCTGCCTTGGCCTCCCAAAGTGCTGGGATTACAGTTGTGAGCCACTGCACCCGGCCCATAGCTTAAATTTTTAGAGAATCTTTTCTAGTACTTAAATCGATAAATATGGTTATCTTTTAAAAGCAAGACATGAACTAATTTAATATTTGCTCTTGTGATTTTTAAAGGCTAAAGCAGTAGCTGCAGAATCGAATGCAACCTTCTTTAATATAAGTGCTGCAAGTTTAACTTCAAAATATGTAAGTGCTGTTTCCAATATTGTCATATTTTAAGTTACTGTCTAAAAGTTACTGTGTTAACTATAAATGGTAATAATATTTAATGAAAATACTTTTCTAGGAGTTTTATATCTATTATTAACATATGATTAATATCAATCTTCAGAGTAGAAAGTTAATGTACATTTGTATTGTCAAATATTGTATTAGTTTACTGGAACCATTTAATAAAATATCGTAAACTGGTTGGCTTAAACATCAGCAATTTATTTTCTCATAGTTGTGGAAGCTAGAAGTCCAAGATCAGTCAAAATGTTGGCAGATTATTTCCTTCTGGGGGCTGTGAGGGAAAATGTATGTTGCATGCCTCTCTCCTAGCTTCTAGTGGCTTGCTGGCAATCTTTTGCATTCCTTGGCTTGTAGATGCATCCCTCTCATCTCTGTTTTTATATTCACATGGCATTCTCCTTTTATCTGTCTCTGTGTCCAAATTTCCCCTGTAGATTAGGGCCCCCCTAATTATCTCAATTTAACTTAGTCATCAGCAATGTTACAGCCTTCCCTGACTCTCCCCCCATTATCCTCTTAGCATCACTTGTACCTCATTTGTCATACTCATTGAAGTTGAAATTCATATTCATTGATATGATTATTTTAGTTGTATTTGATATCACTGTCACCACCACTAGAAGATGGTCTCTATGCGAGCAGAGACTATCGCCATGTGTTCTTCACTTCCATTTTCAGTATCTGGCAGTAAGTAGGTACTGAATAAATACTTGTGGAATAAATAATCATATGATGTATAGATATTATTCTCATATCTCTATTAGGAAATTACAGAGAAGTTCAGTGATCTGCTGAGGATCTCATAAGGAAGTGGGAAACTAGGATTTGAGCTCCAATGAGTGTGGCCTTTCATTAAAAATATTACAGCAACCATTCTCTTTTATCCATACTTGTTTCAAGAGTATTCTGCTTCATCTTCATGTTTCCAGAAACAACATAACATTCATGATCTTAACCTTTAATTTGGATACTGCCTAAATATCTTGAAGCAAGTTTGCTTTTAAGAAAGTTGAGGCTGGGTGTGGTGGCACAGGCCTATAATCCCAGCACTTTGGAGGCCGAGGCAGGTGGATCACTTGGGCTCAGGAGTTTGAGACCAAGCTGGGCAACATGGCAAAACCCTGTCTCTACCAGAAATATAAAAAATTAGTTGGGCATGGTGCTATGTGCCTGTGGTCTCAGCTACTCAGGAGACTGATGTGGGAGGATCACTTGAGCCTGGGAGGTGGAGTTTGCTGTGAGCTGAGACATCATGCTACTGCACTCCAGCCTGGGTGACAAAGTGAGAACCCATCTCAAAAAAAGAAAAGAGAAAAGAAAAAGAAAATTGAAATGTCTAGTCTATCATTTTGGCAGTTCTAGCCAATACAATTTTTTTCTTATGTTTACCTAAAATGTACTTTTTCTAAGTTTTAATGTACTTGATTTAACAAAATTCTAGTTTTCTTTTATGAGATAGCCTTTCAAATATATAGGAACTTAACGTTATATCTGCTTCCCCCAGCCCCCAGAATAGTTATTATTATCTTAGTTGCCTTCTGTGGTCTCATGCCAGTTTGTCAGTATGCTCAGAGGATGATAAGAATTGAATATTTTACCTCAGATGTGACCTGACTTTGAAGACTTAAAAAGAAAGCATTGGATAATATTATATAGATGTTCTGTCTCATGATATATCCTGAGAAAGCTTTTGGGAGGAACTGCATCATGGTCATGGACAACATTTGCATTATTAAAATATCTAGATTAGTTTCCGCAAAAAATCAGTTGCATATGTATCTTAACATGTTGTATTATTGTTTAACCTTGTTTATTGAATAACTTACCGGTGGAAAAGTATAGCATAAGTATACAGCTCAGTCATAAAGCAAATATACTTTCGTAATCACCACCCAGGTCAAGAAATAAATTGTTACCTGTGCCCCTGAAATCCCTCCAGGCACTCCACCATCTTTACCCACTCACTCCTCTCCCCCAAAACCACTAGACTACTAACGTCATAGACAAAACTAGCATGCCTTTGAACTGTATATAAACCTAATCACATAGGATTTTGTCTGTATGTGCATTTGGTTTCTTTCATCAGCATTGTTTGTGAGATTTATCCAGATTGTTGCAAGTAGTTGTAGTTGTGCTTTTTTACACAAATAGATTTAATTTTTATATTTTTCTTATATTTTCAAACTGTTAATTAACCTGCTTCTAATTGATCATTAATAAAAAACCTAACATTTGCATAGTTCTTGCCAGTTTACTAGTTTTTCCACACAGTTTCAACATGTTTGTAAAGTTTGGCATTCAGTGCATCAGTATGCTACTAGATTTAAAAATTAGGGAAAAAAATCAGAGAAGTTAATAAAGTAATATTTCTCTTGTGTTATCTCTGCTAAGTCAAATATTTTGTAAGTTTCTTTAAATATTTTAATAAATCATTGTACTTAAAATGTTCTCAATGTTTAAAGTAGTTAGATCACATTTTACTTCCTATTTGAAATTTTACAAGTCATTATTCTATTTATTAATTTATTTTTTGAAACAGGATCTAGTTCTGTTGCCCAAGCTAGAGTGCAATGGTGTGAGCATGGCTCACTGCAGCCTCAATCTCCTGGGCTCAAGTGATCCTCACACTTTATCATCCTAAGTAGCTGGTACTACAGGCGCATGCCACCATGCCCAGCTAATTTCAAAAAAATTTTGGGAGATGGATGCAGTGGCTTATACCTGTAATCCCAGCACTGTAGGAGGCTGAGATGGGCAAATCATGAGGTCAGGAGTTTGAGACCAGCCTGGCTGACATAGTGAAATCCTGTCTCTACTAAAACTACAAAAAATTAGTGAGACGTGGTGACAGGTGCCTGTAATCCCAGCTATTCAGGAGACTGAGGCAGGAGAATTGCTTGAACCCAGGAGGCCAAGGTTGCAGTGAGCTGAGATTGTGTCCCTGCACTCTAGCCTGGGCGACTATAAGAAACTGTCTCAAAAAAAAAAAAATTGTTGTAGTGATGAGGTATGACTATGTTGCCAGGCCAGGGCTGGTTTCAAACTTCTGGGCTCTAATGATCCTCCCATCTCAGCCTCCCAAAGTGCTAGGATTACAGGCATGAGTCACCGTGCCTGGTCTTCAAGTTGTTGTTAAAGCACGTTTACCCACATTATGCATTTGGTACAATGGAAATCATTGTCGTGGAAGTTAGGAGATAGGGATTCTAAGCTAGCTTTTTTTTTTTTCTTGAGACAAGGTCTCACTCTTACGCCCAGGCTGAAGTGCAGTGGTGTGATCTCAGCTCACTGCAACTTCCGCCTTCTGGGTTCAAGCGATTCTCCTGCCTCAGACTCAAGTAGCTAGGATTACAGTCATGCACCGCCACGCCCAGCTAGATTTTACATTTTTAGTAGAGATAGGGTTTTGCCATGTTGGCCAGCTAGTTTTGAACTCCTGACCTCAGGTGATCCACCCGCCTTGGCCTCCCAAGTACTGGGATTACAGGAGTGATCCACTGTGCCCGGCCTCTAGCCTAACTTTTACATCCTGAACTGGCCTTAAGAAAGTATCACTTTAGGCCTGTTTCATCTGTAAATGTTAATGTCATAAGAGGTGATCTTTTGAGATTTCTTTCAGCTCTGAGAATATTTGTTTTGATTATTCTAAATCTGGGCCATTTCTTTTGTTTTTAAGTTGAATCTTCAATAAAAAGAATAAATGCTACCTAGAGGACAGAAACATTTTTATAGTAGATTGTCACAGACTTTATGACTCTTTCATTACTTTGGTGCATAAAATGGCCTTTGTATGCTGTCAGCATCTGGGAATGTCTCAGTGGGTGTTCATAGACCTTCTGGACTATCTGGAAATGTTTTGATATTTGTTGGCCGGGCACCGTGGCTCATGCATCTAATCACAGCACTTTGGGAGGGTGAGGTAGGTGGATCACCTGAGGTCAGGACATCAAGACCAGCCTGGCCAACATGGGGAAACCCTGCCTCTACTAAAAATACAAACATTAGCCAGGCATGGTGGTGGGCACCTGTAATCCCAGCTACTTGGGAGGCTGAGGCATGAGAATCGCTTGAACCCAGGAGGCAAGTTTACATTGAGCCAAGATTGCATCACTTTGCTCCAAACTGGGCTACAGAGCAAAAGTCTTGTTTCAAAAAAAAAAAAAAAAAAAAAGAAAGAAATTTTGATATTTATTGATGATGGTGTTGTGAGAATGACTTTTCAAGGTGTTCTTAATAGAGCAAGTTTTGTTTAGGAGGGCACATTCCAACTTACTTGCTTCTATAAATATACCTTGTAATCTAGGGCTTAAGGAATATGTACAGCATCTCTTTCTCTCCCTTAGTCTTCCCTTTTCTCACAGTCTTCCCTTTTCTCACTAGTTAGATCCTTGACCGAATAGCTATTTCATTCTCAAGTCTTAGGAATGCAGGGTGAAACAAAATAGATGAATTTTTAAAGCACTTACCAGGCTATATGAAATCACGGTCTATTTTCTAAAATTATAATGGACAGTTCAGTAATACTGTCTCCTTTCTCAAACCAAATCTTTGGTTGTTGTAAGGAAGGGAAATTAAATTCCTGTGTGCTAGATTTTCAACATAAAATTTAAAAAACTGGAATAATCTTGCATTTTATGTATATAACAATATAATGCCTTGTTTTAGGTGGGAGAAGGAGAGAAATTGGTGAGAGCTCTTTTTGCTGTGGCTCGAGAACTTCAACCTTCTATAATTTTCATAGGTAAGAACATATTTTCCAACTAAGTTAGTTGACTATTTGTAAAATTTCCCCCTGCAAATAGGAAAGATGATTGGAAACATCCAGAAGGAAGAAGTTTTAAAGAGGGCAAGCTTAAAGACTATCTAATGAGTTTAATAGGACCCACTCTATTAATAAGTATTAAACTAGATCTCAGATGACTCACATAGCTTGGTTTTTAAAGTCTTATACTTGTATTTCCTCTAGATGAAGTTGATAGCCTTTTGTGTGAAAGAAGAGAAGGGGAGCACGATGCTAGTAGACGCCTAAAAACTGAATTTCTAATAGAATTTGATGGTGTAAGTGTTGATTATGATATTTTTTTATGTGGCAGCATTTTAGTATATATATGTATATTCTATTAAATGGCCAAGGTTAAAAATACAAATATCTTTGTTTGTAGGTACAGTCTGCTGGAGATGACAGAGTACTTGTAATGGGTGCAACTAATAGGCCGCAAGAGCTTGATGAGGCTGTTCTCAGGTAGGGAGATTTATATGGAAATCCATGCATTTATTACAGACAATATTTACTCATATGTTCATCTTACGTATTATTTCCTTATTCTCAGTTTTAAGACAATTCACTATTTTCCTCCCGTACTGTCCTCTAGCCTCTATGTTACCAACTAAATGATGATTTTGAGGTCAACAGCTTGATATCAGGAGTACTAGTCTAGTAAAGGTTTAAGGCAGATTGGTCGGTTCTTCTGGGTTGCATTAAATTATCTTTAAACTTCAGAATTGATTCTTACCCTCTTTTATTGGGCTTCCTGAGAAGGTGATCAAAGCACAGTTCATGGAAAATGTGTTTTCTGTTCTTGTGTGTTTGAGCAAATTTATTCCCTTCATAATGGAAGAACAATTTGACTCAGCATAAAATTCTTGGGCATACTTCCCCAAGGAATTTACAATATTGCTCCATTTTTTCTAGGATTGGCTATAGTAGTGTAAAAGTCTGAATCCAAGCTGATTTTTTCAAATTTATAAATTAACTTGATTTTTTTCCTCTCTTTACTAGATAGAATTATTAGCCATTAAAATCTGGTTATTTGAAAAGTATGTTGATCTGTATTTATTTTTCCGGAGATTTGATGTTTCTTTAAATTGACAGTTTAGAACTTCCTTTGTTTTGGGAAATTTGTTTTATTAATTTATTGATAATTTTGACTTTTATTTTAGATACAGGGGGTACATGTGCAGGTTTGTTACATGGGTATATTGCACTCAGGTAGTGAGCATAGTGTGTGGTAGGTAGCTTTTCAACCCACACCTCACTCCTTTCTTCCCCCATGTAGTAGTCCACAGTGTGTATTGTTCCCATGTGTCCATGTGTGCCCAATTTTTAGCTCCCACTTATGAGAACATATACTATTTGGTTTACCGTTTCTGCATTAATTTGCTTAGTATTAAGGCCTCCAGCTCCATCTATGTTGCTGCAAAGGACATCATTTCATTCTTTTTAATGGCTGTGTAGTATTCCATGGTGTGTATGTACCACGTTTTCTTTATCCAGTCCACCATTGGTGGGCGCCTAAGTTGAATCCATGTCTGCTATTGTGCATAGTGCAATAAACATGAAATGCATATGTTTTTGGTATAATGATCTATTTTCCTTTGGGTATATACCCAATAATGGGATTACAGGGTCAAAGGTAGATCTGTTTTGTTTTTAGAGAAATCTTCAAACTGCTTTCCACAATGACTAAACTGTACATTACCACCAAAGTATATGTGCTCCACAGCCTCACCAGCATCTGTTATATTTTTTTTTACTTTTTCACACCAATCTCTAGACAACATGGGATTTTTTTTTGCTGTTATATTAATAGACATTCTGACTGATGTGAGATATCTCATTATGATTTTTTTTTTTTTTTTTTGAGACGGAGTTTCGCTCTTGTTACCCAGGCTGGAGTGCAATGGCGCGATCTCGGCTCACCGCAACCTCCGCCTCCCGGGTTCAGGCAATTCTCCTGCCTCAGCCTCCTGAGTAGCTGGGATTACAGGCACGCGCCACCATGCCCAGCTCATTTTTTGTAGTTTTAGTAGAGACGGGGTTTCACCATGTTGACCAGGATGGTCTCGATCTCTTGACCTCGTGATCCACCCGCCTCGGCCTCCCAAAGTGCTGGGATTACAGGCTTGAGCCACCGCGCCCGGCACTCTCATTATGATTTTGATTCGCATTTTTCTGATGATTAGCGATGATGCATATTTTTTCATGTTTGTTGTCCCCTCATATGTCTTTTGAGAAATGTCTGTACATTTCCTTTTTACCCATTTTTTAATAGGGTTGTTTTTAGCTTGTTCAATTGTTTGAATTCCTTGTAGATTCTGGATATCAGACCTTTGTTGGATGCAATTCTGTAAGTTGTCTGTTTACTCTGTTGATGGTTCTTTTTGCTGTACAGAAGCTTTTTAGTTTAATTAGGTCCCACTTGTGAGTTTTTATTTTTATTGCAATTGTTGTTGAGCCATAATTTCTTTCCAAGGCTGATGTCAAGAAGGGTATTTTCTGGTTTTCTTCTAGCATTTTTATACTTTGAGATCTTACATTTAAATCTTTAATCCGTCTTGAGTTAATTTGGGTATATGGTGAAAACTAAGGGTTCAGTTTCATTTTTTCTACATATTGCTAGCCAATAATCCCCACACCATTTGTTAAATAGGGAGTCTTTTCCCCATTGCTTTTTTTTTGTCAGCCTTGTCAAAGATCAGATGGGTTATAGATGTGTGGCTTTATTTCTCAATTTTCTATCCTGTTCCTTTGGCCTGTGTGTCTGTTTTTATACCAGAATTATGCTGTTTGGGCTACTGTATAGTATAGTTTAAAGTCAGGTAATGTGATACTTCCAGCTTTGTTCTTTTTGCTTAGGATTGCTTTGGCTATTTTGGATCTTTTTTTGGTTCCATATGAATTTTTGAATAATTTTTTCTACTTTTGTGAAAAATAACATTGATAGTTTGACAGGAATAGCACTGACTCTATCAATTGCTTTGGGCAGTATGGGCATTTTACAGAGCAATCAGGCAAGAGAAGGAAATAAAAGGCATCCATATAGGAAAACAAGTCATCATGCTGTCTCTCTTTTCACTGGCAATATGATTCTATACTGAAGAAACCCTAGAAATGCCGCCAAAAGGTTACTAGAACTGATAAATGATTTTACCAAGGTTTCAGGATACAAAATTAGTGTACAAAAATTAGTAGCATTTCTATATACTAATAATGTTCAGGCTAAGAGTTAAATCAAGAACACAATCCCATTTACAACAGCCACAAAGAAAATGAAATGCTAGCTGGGCACGGTGGCTCACACCTATATAATCCCAGCACTTTAGGAGGCCAAGGCGGGCAGATCACTTGAGGTCATGAGTTCGAGACCAGCCTGACCGAGACGGTATAACCTCATCTCTATTATATATAACCTCATCTATATTATATTATATATAACCTATATTATATATAACCTCATCATCTACATATATATTATGTATAACCTCATCTCTAAAAATATAAAAAATTAGCTGGGTATGGTGGCGAGCACCTGTAATCCCAGCTACTCGGAAGGCTGAGGCAGAAGAATCGCTTGAACCCAGGAGGCAGAGG